GTACCGGGAAGCGTGTTTTAACAACTTTGTGGCTTATATTTAGCATCCTACTAGGGAATCCCAAAAAAGGGACTACTATGGGGCCTATGGGTAAACTCTGCTTGTGACGTTTTTCACCACCAGGTTCGGCTCTTAGCGCGTTGGAGAAGCCAGCTGCATGGGAGGCAGCCGCCTCGCTGCAAAGATCCTTTCTGGGGCTCAGGGAGCAGATTTAGTGTAGGGGCCTTAGTAATTACCAAAACTGTTATTTGGGTTCTTGATTATATTCATAGTATAATATACACCTTATTCTAATGATTAAGGCCCCTACATTAGGGAGTTTCGAATTGCTCTGAATGGGTTCAGCGAGAGGTTGGGGTTGCTTTAAAGATCCCTTTAAGGATTCCTGCGGCCCTAAACCCTAAACCCCAAAGATTGAGAGTCTAGTGTAGGGGTCCTTAGGTCTTCAAGTGTTCCATAGCGATTCTGGCGCTTTAGGGTTCCTACCTATAAGGGTTTCTGAGGTTCCCGAAAGATCCATCAAGGTGTTTGGGAGTCTGTAGCTCGGGTTTTCGAGGGTTTAGGGGCTCGGGTTTTTAGAGCTTTTGGGCTTCGGGGTTAGGGTTCGAGGTTTAGCTTTAGGCTTAGGTTCGAGGGAGATTCGCATGCCCCCGCCGCAACCCCACAACTTGAATGTCAATTTGTTATTCTACCTGCCAAGCCTCGATTTTACGTCACTACGTTTGTGAGTTTCCAGCAGCAGCCTTTATTTATTGTGGAGAGGGAGCGATGATGGTAATGTTGACATGTGTTCTTCAACAAGACCCGGGCAGTTTTTGTTGCAAGTTAGAGCGCTAAGGCTTTGGCATGAGGGTTACATCATGGCCAGTTCTGAACAAGTGTGCCTAAACCCTAAACTACAAAGAAACAACCCTCCCTTGGCCACGGCCTCACAAAATGTGACCACTTCAGGCTGCTTTCCTGCTGCAGAGCATGGAGGATTCCCAAGTCCAACGCCGCTTTCTGGGCACCAGAGCGGTTGGGGCTGGGGTGTTTGGGCCAGGGCTCTATCAGGGCTAGGGTTGTAGAACAAGGCTTCCTGCGAGGCGGTTGGGTCATACCTTAAGAACCCAAAACCCACTTTTTTGTAGGTTCTTATTATAAACCCTAATATGGGATTTATAGGGACCCTACAAAAAAGTAGATTTTGGGTTCTTAAGGTAGTATGACTGCACGGGACTGTTCGTCTTGACCATGTCGGCAGCTTTGAAAAGCGCCCCTCATTCTGACCCAGTTTGCGGAGGCAATCTCTTCACGTACAATGCAGCCATCAGCGCCTTCGGAAAAGCTGAGCTCTGGGACGCAGCGATGCTCCTCAGCTCATCGGGCATGGGAAGCCCACCGAAACCCCAAACCCCCAAATCCTACCCCAATAACAAACTAATTAAGCATAACAAGCATGTCAAGAAACAGGCAAGCAAATAGGGCCAACCCTGACCACATCTGGCCACCCAACAGAGCCTGGCGGGTGGTAACACATCTGGAAACGCTTATCGTAGCCCCCAAAGTGCCCCTATAACTGACGGAGCCCTTTATGGTTATCCTCAAGGAACCCGTTAAAGCAGACAGCGGCTTCATGTACGCAACGCTGAGCTTGGCTTCGCAACAAGCGTATAAACGCTTCAACATAGAAATCTTGCATGTCCCATGATGTCCTCTTGTAAGAAGATTGTACTGACCGATTCCGGGTTTTGAAGGAAAGACTTGAACTATTCTGGGGCCTTGAAAGGCTGATGAGTAGTCAAAGATCGGGGGGTAGAAGTCCCAATGTGGGTTATAGCTATGGTTACCCTACCTCTCACCCCTACGCCCTGCACAGTACCTCTACGTAAAACAAGTCAGTATTTCAGCCCAAGCCAGAAGCCTCTTGATCGCCAAACCCCAATTCCCCAGGACCAAAAAGCCCCGAAAATCCAAATATGGGAGCCTGATTCAGAAGCCTTGGCTCTTGACCTGAATTCTTCGTTCCAATGCTAATATTCTGGGGTTATAGGGCCAGGGTTTCTTAAGCAGGTTCCTACATTAAACCCCAAGGCAACCACAACCCAAAGCCCCACAGCCCCAAAATGTCCTGCACCGTGACGGGTCCAAGGAGCCTATTGGCCGAAATGACGACAAGTCACATCGAGGCACAGAGTCACTTTCATCTGGTGCTCTGTCATTCAGCCAGCAAGGGTTTAGGGTTTAGGATTTCGGGTTTAGGGTTTAGGGTTCACGCCTTGGCTGAGAGGTTTGCGATTTAGGGGTTGTAGGCTGCAGGATTTCTTAGTGCATGAGCGGGTTGCCAACCTAACCCTAAGCCCAACGCTCGGGAACAGCTTGGGGAGTTGGGCGGATTAGGCACTCCCTGATCGTTACGTATGAGCCCTAGCGTTACAGAGAGTACGCATGCCCCCTGGACTTGCACCGTTGTTACAGTGGAAGTTCTAACGAGTTCCCAGCTAATTAGACCGGTGGAAAAACCGGAAAACTGCCAAAGGCTTCTGGTAGTGTATCTTCCGTCAATCTCAGCCGAGCTCGAAGCCGTGAGCAGCAACACTAAAATAAGATAACATAATTAGGGGCGGGTTTCTTTCAAGGGCGGATCTAGGGTTTTGCATCTTGAAACTCTCAGACCTTTTTGCACCGTAAACATGAGTGCGCAGTCAGGCCGATACCATCACCTTCACCTCGGCAATTGACTCCTGCGCGCGTGGCACAAGGTGCCACACAGTCTTTCTTTGTCCATGTCACCGCTGCCATCATGGGAGGGCGACAAAGAAGCAAAATCAGCACGTAGTTCATCCGTCATGAACCAGCAAAAAAGTCATATGATGAGATGATAAGCAAAGTTGTAGTCGCCATCAACGACTTTGTATCCTCAGTCTTCCAACCATTTTACGCAATATACTCGGGTTGAACGTATTGGGGTTTGTGGGCTTATAAACGGTTTTAGGCTATTTCAGCCTTCAGGGTGTGGCTCAATCTCAAGGATGCTCAAGGTCTGCATACTAGATTTCGGGCCGTGCTTTGGGTGTGGGCCTCTTTTTAATGACCTACCGTACACACCCCCAAACCCTAGTCTGAAGAATCAGGCCCTTCTTTTTGGAGTTAAGGAATTGTCTGTGCCGAGAGCCCTACATCCCAAACCCCACACCGGATGGTTGAGTTTGGGAGTTTTTTTATCACTAAAAGCCCTTTAGCCTGGCCTGAACCGCACCTACATAGGCAGATCTCTGGATAAATGCGCATGTACTGACCGAAACAAACAAGTCAGTACATGTTAAGCAAATGAGTACATACATAAACATATGGGTGGTTGTCAAAATTATGGTCCCTTTTTGGGTCCGTAATATAATACGGCACCTAATATTTAGGGTACCCAAAAAGGGACCCTAATTTTGACAACCACCCACACATATGTATATATATATATATATTTATTTATTTATATATATATATGTATATGTGTGTACATATGCCTGTGTGTATATATATATATGTACACACACATGCCACTTTTGTCGCAGTCCTAGATGCAGGTGGGAGCAGGCCGTGGCCTTGTACCGGGTCATGGAGCAGAAGGAGGCGATGAACAAGGTTAGCCTAAACCCTAAACCCCTAAACCCTAAACCCTACACCCCTAAACCCTAAACCCCTAAACCCTAAACCCCAGACTCTGAATCCCAAACATTTAGGGTTTAGGGTGGCACCTCAGTCCGTGCTGGAAAGGGTT